TACAGTAATAATTACACATTTAAGTACTAAGCAATATTAATTAACTACATGTACATATATGGTTAGGATTAGGGTTTACTTGCACGTAATTATGCATAATTTATTGTTATTCTAACAGTAAGTACATGCAACATGTGTAATAAGGACACCTTAAAATAAAGTGTTTCCATGTTTGTTTTTGACCAAAGATTATAGTTAGAAGACGTACTAGATGAATAAACAATGAAGTGTTTGTCCTCTATTTTGATCAAGCCATTCCCTCTAGACATGCTGCCTTTGGCATTGTGAAGGTTGGCGTCCCCTCTTGTCCCAATGGCCTTGTGTTTGCATGTCTTTTTAATGCTGCCTCCTGCCTTAGGCTGGTACACAGCAACAGGGGAAGAGTGAGTGGTTGGGGGTTGGGGGGTAGGAATTCCAAGCAGTGCTTTAAATAATTAATATCTTCACATGAGGTCGGGGGAAGCGAGGGGGTCTGCAGGAATCCAGGTCAATCCAGCCAGACTATTTAGTACATTGGGACTGCATGTTATCTGCTCACTCAAACCCAAACAAAGCCAGGTTCCTTCTCCAGAAGAGAACTTACTGTACCTTAGGACTTATGTGACAAAATGTATTACCTTGCTACTTTCAAGACAGCGTACTTACCACAGTTGTAATCCTCAGCCAACTGTTGGACCTCACTGAACCCATCCGTCCACAGCTGCTCTCCACCTGCCTGCATGAATGCCCCAAACTCCTCCTCCTCCTCGCCCACATCAAGAGACCCCTCGTCAGCGGCCACCTTGTTCTTGTCGTCAACTCTTGCCGGCTCTGATAGCAACTCTGAGTTCACCAGAGGCAGCAAGTCTCCACCTCTAGCCCCCGCCTCCGCCTCGCTTAATGCTGGGATGGCTGTTGCTATGGCTGCAGTGGTGGAATGGGCAGGATTAACCAGGGAATGAATAGTGGTTACAGTTATATTGGCTGTTGTTGCACTAAAGCCTTGCGAAGAGGATTTGTCAGACTGCTGAACTTCATGTTCTCCATGCTCTGTGATTAATTCCTCCCAATGCTGAGGTGAGCACATGGACGGCCTCCTTTTCTTTTCTGTGGTGCTACATTCAGCACCCACTGGAGTGCGGCCCTCCGGCAAAACTGTATTCTTTGTATCTGGAGTCCCATCTCTCTGTGTTGCAAGATCGCCGGGCTCCACCGAGTGTAGATTCTCACGGTCTAGTAGGCACTCGCCTGGCCTGGATTCTTGATTCTTCTGAATGCTGACAGGGACTTCGGAGGGAGTTATCATGGGAGAATGATCCATGCTTGGCTCAGTATTACAGTTTGTTGTGGTCAATTTGATTCTTAGACTATCAGAGTGAGTCTCAGATGCTACAGATGACCCTAGGTTTGGCACATCAGCAACAAAGTTCTGGCGATCATTTGCATCAAGGTCACATTTACTGACCTCAGTGTCTCCTTGCACATTGGCACAACTGAATTCTTTTTCAGAACAGTTATCGGATTGATTAAGGCTCATCTCATCTTCAACCTGCTCACCTGGTTTGGCACATGGTTTGGCAGAAGAGCAGCAGGTTTGTGAATCTGTGCTCTCGGGTGTGACAGCTTTCACTAATATGGGGGAATGAGCCCTTTGGTCTTTGCCCTTCAACTTCAAGTCGTCCTGACTTGGATAGCTACCCGTCTGGCCTTGTGTTATGTTAAGTGGTTGTGCATCTGAAATCACTGCATTTTTTTGGTCACTGCGCCGACTAGTGTTTTCCCCTTTGCCGTGAGCCGCTGTTCTTTTCTCCGTTGTTTTACCGCATTTCCTCCATTTTCGTATGGCCCTGGGCTTGGCCTTGAACAATCCACCATCATCTGGCCCATCCTGGCTCACCTTCTGCCCTTTAGAGGAACATCTAAGCTCTTCCTTTGTCCCCTCAAGAATGACAGCATGAGTCCGTGGAGCCATGACTCTCGTCCCAGTCCCGCGGTTTCCAACAGCACAGATGTAGCTGCCCCTGCCCTGGGCCTTGAGAAAGAGGCAGCGTGTCTGAGTCTGCCTACCACCCCCCTCAGTGCCCTTCAAAGTGGCCACAGTTACAAGAGCGCCAAGACCGCCTTGCCTGACCCCTGGAGTTCTGGTTGCACTAATTGTGCTCTCCAGTGTGTGCCCATAGCCACTGCTGACATGACCTGACCAGCTTCTCTGCCCTAGCCTGTTTTCAGGAGGCTGTTGGCATGTGCCCTGTGCCCGAGATCCATTAGCAGCCTTTCTTCTGGCTTTAGAGTAGCCGCCACTCACAGCCCATGCTCTCAGGCCTTTAATCAGGGGTATGGCTCCAAACTCAAGGGCACTGGCGAATGAGACATTGGTTCTTCGGCATTCATGCAGTAGCTCCCTATGGGCCATGTCCAAGCAGTTATTGTTGTTGTTCTGTTGCAGCATTCTTCTTGGGAGAATAATATCAGATGCTGTGGTGGGTAAGAATGACATTTAGGATGTCAAAAACGTGAAATTCTTCTGTTACAGCACAACATTTAGCAATCAGTTAAGGAAGGCAAATTGCATATATCTTGATTTAATGATGATTTAAGTTCAATACCTGACAATTAATGGTCAACGTACAAGTGCAGGCTCAAATTTTAGTTTAGGTCTTTGCAAATTGTCTTCAAATAAAACAGATAAAATATCCAGTAAAATAATCCAGTTAATCAATTTAATCCATTCACTCCATTCATTTTAAATTCTCTCTCTCTCACACACACACACACACACACACACATAATTTTCTTGCAATACTTAAAACTGTAATATGTATTGTAACATTTTTTTAAAAACTGTAATACAACTTGTATACAATTGTTTACTACAGTTTTGTAATTTGTATTCTTGACAATTAAAAGTCAATACAAAACAAGTGCAGGCTCAAATATTTGTTTAGGTCATGGCAAATTGTCTTAGAGTTGAGTTAATATTCTATACACTATATATTCTATAATGTCTATACACACACAAACTGTGTAATATACTACAACTTGTATATATACTACAATTACGTTATATTCTATATACTACAATATATACAGTATACACTACAGTTACTGTATATACTATAATTTTGTAGTTAGTATTTTTATGTAGTTTAATGTATATCATAATTATATACATACTGTAATAACTATGAAATATAATATTAAATAAAATAAATATTCAGTATTTATTATGCAATTTTATTTTTATACTCTTAGTTTTTTTAAACTCTATTAAAAAATGGATACTGTCATGTCAAACCACGAAGAGTTCTTTTTTCGTTCTATTTCTAGGCTACTTTATACAATTATTCCTATATTTTATATGTAGTTATTATAACTGTATTTTATAATGCATTACATTTATAATGTATGTACATGATTGTTTTATTTGATAATATGACTGTTTTATTAAGAGCTAGTGTATTTAATACTTAAGTTACTGTATAATGTATCATTAATGTATAATAATTTTTATTTCGCATGTCACAAACTGTCATGATGATCAGAGGACGCTGCGTTACGTAGTCTACACACACAATACGTGATCACATCACTTGCACCAAATCGGGAGTCTTATCATTAACTAATAGGACTTGCCCACTCAGATGTATCTTACATGAGGTAACCTCGGGGAGGGGGAATTATCTGCATCGATTCTTTTCGTGGTTTGACAAGATAATATCCATCTTTTTCAGGATATCATAAATAACCCATCTTTCTTTCGTTGTATCCTCTTACCTTTACAGTGTGCCAGTCATTTTCCTCATTCGGATGCGATGTCACGAATCACACAATTCCAGCTGTCGTACGTTGTGAAGATGCTGCTGGGCTGAGGGATTTTGGCTTTAACCTTCATGAAGATTTTGGACCGTCTAGAAATGATGATATCCATGACACCACTTCGTTTTAAGACAGCATATCCGAATACAGACCACCGTAGATATAGTATAACCTATTATATCCCATGTACGTCTCGTGTGCTCCGTTGAAGTGAACGTCACGCTACTCCTCCGTGTCTCCTCATAGCGCAGGCTACTTTAATTGGCAATGCAACGCAGAGCCTCCGCAATCTAGTGCGTGCGCTCAGCTGACCAATAGCGGAGCGTGCAGCACGCTGTCGGTGCTTTTACGCTTACGCACGAAGAGGACACGCACACGCGGGAACACATTACTTCATTATAGCTTTTCATTTAGTTCTTCAGCCAGTTCTGGTGAGTATAGGCTACTTTTGAAACCCTCTTGCACTCACTCTTTTGCTCGACTTCGTTTAGCCATAATTGGTAGGCTATAGAAACTCAATATAAAGAGAGCCTACTTTTGTGTTAATAACATGGTGGTCTATGTTTACAGTAAGCACTTTAATTCTAATCGGAATCATTCATGTGCTAACTATTTTAGTTTCATTTTTGTCCAATACATAGTTCACAGAAAATGAAAATTGTCATCATTTACTCACCCTTGTGTTGTTCCAAACCTGCCTATGACTTTATTTCCCTTTTTAAAATAAAAAGGGAAATGATCTTTATTTTTCAGAAGACATTTGTGTATAAAACACAGACAAGGAATGGACTCTTTTATGACACTTTAATTATGCATTTATGGTGTTTTTGTGTTTTGTCGTAGACTTGAACGCTCCAGCCTCCTTTCATTGTAATTACTTGGACAAATACAACCAATACATTCTTCAAAATGTCTGTTTTCATTGTGAGAAAGTAAATAAGGGTTTGGAATAACATGTGGATGAGTAAATTATGATCAAATTTATTTTTTATGTGTGTACAAGTTTCATCTGGATGTAGTTTTCATCAATCATTAAACATTTTAGATATGTTCAATACTGTATATTGCAATCTTGGGGAAGGCTGTCTGCTGCTGTTTGTACATTTTTCTTGCCATGTCAGTTTCAGACTTGGACCACTACTCATTAGTGCTGCCACATTAGAAAAATCAGTGGAAAACGTCAGGAAATAATCATGTACAACTAATTAGAATGTTAATATTTTATTTGACTGTTCTATTTTTGCATTAGATGGAGATAAGCATCATCTAAATGATTGTTTCAAAAAAAGCAACACATTACAAGCATGCAGTTCTTTAATTAAACCTGTCTTAAATATAATATATATACAATGATATTGCTCGCAGGTAGGCCAATTCCATCAACAACGCAAGAGTTCATTTTAAAAAGAAAAGAAAAGAAAAACATTTCACACTCAGTGTTTACAATTCATAAGAATTCAGAGCATTTCTTCTGAACAGAGAAATGCTTTCTGGTACAGCATGTCACAATCCTTAAAAATTGTGAATGAAAAAAAACTTCATATTGTTTAAATTTATCTTAAAAGTCACAAAAATATGCATCACAAAAATACTCTACAGGCTTTCTTTCTAGTTTCTTATCTGTACAGATCATGCATATAAATATTTAAAAATAGTACATGTATTTCTAATAGTATCTAAAATAAACAAAATTCCATAACAACAACTGAAAACTACAGAGACAAACCAGGCATCGAAAAACCAAAGCAATATTACCAAAATGCTGTAATTCTACAGCATAAATATCATGCAAGACTGCACAAGAAAATCATAAGAAAATGTAAAAATGTAATGTTTTTTAAATATCTTTGCATCTGTCTATGTTCTACAGATTTGTGCCTATGTTGTTTTTTTTATCTACAACTAAATATTTTTGTGTAAATATCATGTGATCTTTACAAATATTTAAATTCAAAGTGTCATACAGAGTGGCAAGTTACAAAACATGAAAATAATGTCTAAAATAAATAATATTCTTTTTGTAGCAACATTTTCATTATGTATAAGTTGCAAAATCTGGAGAAAATATGTTTGCTTTCTTTACTTTAAATAGAATAAAACCTGCAAGACTGAAACAATTGTCACATACAAATTTGTGGGCCTAATTATTATTCCACTACCGATTATATGTCACAGTTCTGTAACTGAGATTCTTACTGTTTCGAACTGGTACATTTTGTTTCTGTATACTTTGTCGTCTTAGTCACTACAGTAAGAGTTCCCTCTGTTTTAGTAATCAGATGCTCGGAGGGCATTTCATGGGTCAAAAATTCTACGCTTGGCATCTTCACATAGAAACCTCCAGAGGCTTCCTCGATAGAACAAGGAAGAGAGGACTTGCTTCCTTTTGGAGAACTTTCTGGTGTGATATGAAGGATGTCAGTAGAATGGGGACTAAGGGTGACCTTGGGTACTTTGAACCATGTTGTCTCCTCTCTTTCTTCACATTTCATAACAGAGACGAATCCAGATGATACTGTGGGTACTGGAGACTCTGATCCCTCCCGTTCTGCCAACATTTCAGTCCTTGCTTTTGAGGATACTATAGTACTAATCTTTCTCACCTCCTCATCCTTCTCTGTTTTCTTCTTGAGACCTGGGAAAGACATTGTGCCTGATATTGTCTTTGACTCCTTGCTCTCTTTGCTTTCTCCTGAGCTCTCCTTCCTGAGTTTCATGCTTGTTTCCAATTCCTCTTCCTCACTTGCATCTTTTGAGTATGGTGAGAAAAACTCCACTTTAGGCAATTTAAGCTTTCCAAACATTGTTTTTTCATCTTTGTCACCATTTAGACTTGGACTTGTTCCATCATCAGACCCACTTGGTGTTACATCAAATGATCCTCTCTGCCCAGACGAAAATGTGACTTTGGGCAATTTAAGCTTACCAGTTTCCACCTCATCTTCGCAATATATTGCTCTCCCCTTTTCATTTGATCGAGACTTGCCAAAATTCGGCTTCATTTTGATCTTTGGCTGTTTGATCTTCACATCTCCAATTTCTGCACTTGCTTCACCACCTACACAAGCAGAGCTCTCCGTTTGTGGATTCACCATAACAAATACAGCTTTTGTTACTTTTGGCAGACGTGGGCTTTCATACTCTACCTTGGAGTCCATGTTTATAGAGTGACCTTTTCCCTGAGATGATTTGATGTTGGCTTCAGGTGAACTTAAAGAAGGCAGAGGAATCCCAAACTTTGGAATTTTGACTTTACCAGTCTGCTTTTTATCTTCATCAGAATTATTAGTGTCAGCTTGGGCAGTCTCAATGTCAAAGTCAAGTTCGGGAATCTTTGGTGCTTGTAAATCAGCTTTCAAGTTTGCATCAGTTCCTCCTTTTAGAAATTTAGCATCCATTTTTTCAGACTTGTTTATGTAAGTTTCTAATCCAGAAACTTTTACTTTTGGCATTCCAATATTAAATTTTGTACCTTTAACTTTTGGCCCTTTTATTTTTTCTTTCGTTGCGGGTTCCAGATCAGTATCTTGAAGTTCAGATTTCTTTTTATTCTTTTTTCCGTCTCTTGATAAGCCAAGATCCAGCTCTAGATCCACATTAGGCATCCTCGTCTTTTTACCCTCTTTATGTGAATCCTTAAGGCTTGCATCAGTAGAAGGATCTGACATGTCTGCATCTCTAGACATTCCTATATCTAGTTTGGGGATTTTAACATTTGGCATTGTCAATTTTCCACCCCCTCCTCCAGATTCTCCCTCTTTAGTATCAAACTCTCCAGTTCTACTTTCTGGTAATGATATGTCTACCTGTGGTATCTTAATATCAGGTATTTTACATTGTCCACCTTTTACTTCCATAGATCCCCTAATCCCAGGGATCATGACTTTACCTTTTCCTACATCAGGTTGAAGTTCTGAAACAACATCTTTAGATTTTATTTTAGGAAGGGGTATATCAATTTTTGGTGTCTTTAATTTTCCACCTTCTAGTTCTGAATCAAGTGCGTGACTTTCTTCTTTCCTTCCATGAGGTAGTGAAAAATCTATCTTAGGCACTATAATGTCTGGCATTTTTAATTTACTCCCTTTCACTCCAAATTCTATATCAGGATCATCATTTTCCTTTCCATGAGGCAATGATATATCAACACTGGGCACTGACATTTTTGGTATTTTTAGCTTTTCACCTTTAATTTCAGTGTCAGTGTAAGGTGTGTCACGTTTTGCATGTGGTAATGATATTTCCACTTCTGGCATTCTTAATTTACCCTTCCTTCCAACCTCCACCTCATGGTTATCTGTGCCACCCGTTTTTGCATGAGGAAGTGAAATGTCTACTTTAGGGATCTTGACATGGGGAAAATTTACTGTACCCCTACTACCATCAGTGTTTAAGTCAGTAGAGTCCACTGGTTCATGAAGTTTCAACCTAGGCAAGGAAACATCCAAATCAACCTTTGGAACTGATATGTCAATTTTTGGCTTCTTGGGAATTTTTAAACTGCCCTCATAACCTCTGATATCTGCCTCAGATACATCAACCTCAGTTTTAGGAAGCAATACCTCACATTCTGGAATATTTGCTGTTGGCAATGATATCTCAAATGCTGGCATTCTGACCTTTCCTTTGTTATCCACATATCCAGGCATACCCATTTCTACATCTTTTAGCTTTTCACCTTTAATTTCAGTGTCAGTGTAAGGTGTGTCACGTTTTGCATGTGGTAATGATATTTCCACTTCTGGCATTCTTAATTTACCCTTCCTTCCAACCTCCACCTCATGGTTATCTGTTGCACCCGTTTTTGCATGAGGAAGTGAAATGTCTACTTTAGGGACCTTGACATGGGGAAAATTTACTGTACCCCTACTACCATCAGTGTTTAAGTCAGTAGAGTCCACTGGTTCATGAAGTTTCACCCTAGGCAAGGAAACATCCAAATCAACCTTTGGAACTGATATGTCAATTTTTGGCTTCTTGGGAATTTTTAAACTGCCCTCATAACCTCTGATATCTGCCTCAGATACATCAACCCCAGTTTTAGGAAGCAATACCTCACATTCTGGAATATTTGCTGTTGGCAATGATATCTCAAATGCTGGCATTCTGACCTTTCCTTTGTTATCCACATATCCAGGCATACCCATTTCTACATCTTTGAGCTTTGCTTTAGGAGTAGGTGTCTTGAATTTGGGGAATTTGAGCTTGGATTTGACCTTATCTTCAGGACCCTCTACTCTGAATTCTGGTTTTGTAATTTCTTCAGCACCTGCTTTTATCTTCATTTCAGTGTCAGGACCAATTATTTCAATATCCTTTTTAGATGGTGATGTTCTTTCCATTTCCAAATCTATAGATAAGTCAGGACTCTCCAGTTCTAGTTTGTCACCACTTTTCAATTTTCTGCCAAATTTAGGAAGTGAAATTTTGGGCATTTTTACAGAGACCTCTGGAACATCAAAACTTGCCCCAGATGACGGCCTTCCACCCTCTGCCTTAAGAAGTTCAATGTTTTCTCTATCACTGCCCTTTCCCTTGGGAAGAGTAAAGTCCAGGTCAACTTTAGGAGCAGATATGTCAACAGTTGGTATTTTCACACTTGGCAGCTTGATGTTCCCACCAAAAGTTACTTCAGGGACATTTAAATCACTAATTTTGGCTTTGGTCTCTATATCAGAATCATGAGTCAAGTTAAAGTCTATGTCTTTCTTCTCTGACCCAACTTTTAGTTCACGATCTGTTAGTTTCATTTTAGGGACAGAGATATCAACAGTGGGCATGTGAAATCTTAAACCTTTTTTAGTATCATCTCCCAGTTTAAGCCCTCCCTCTGCGGTTCCTGGCAGAGAGATATCTATAGAGGGCATGTGAAACTTTCCACCCTTGATATCCGGGTCTTCAATGTCAATTTCACCTCCTGATGGTTTTAATTTAGGCAAAGAAACATCTAATTTAGGCATGTCAAATTTTCTTCCTTTTCCTGCAGGTCCCTCAACATCTACATTTCCTCCTGCTCCTCCTCCTGGCAGAGAGATATCAATAGAGGGCATGTGAAACTTTTCACCCTTGATATTGGGACCTTGAACGTCAACTTCACCTCCTGATGGTTTCAATTTTGGCAATGAAACATCTAATTTTGGCATTTTGAATTTTCTTCCTTTTCCTGCATGTCCTTCAACATCTACATCTCCTCCTGCTCCTCCTCCTGCCAAAGAGATATCTATAGAGGGCATGTGAAACTTTCCACCCTTGATATCGGGACATTCAATGTCCATTTCACCACCTGATGTTTTTAATTTAGGCAAGGAAACATCAAATTTAGGCATTTCAAATTTTCTTCCTTTTCCTGCAGGTCCTTCAACATCTACATCTCCTCCAGCTCCTCCTCCTGGAAGAGAGATATCTATAGAGGGCATGTGAATCTTTCCACCCTTGATATTGGGGCCTTCAACATTAATTTCACCTCCTGATGGTTTTAATTTAGGCAA